GTAATGAGAAAGAGCCAGCATGTGGATAGATATACCACGTGCAAAGTAACTCCACAACGTATATTTTACAACCTTCTAAAAAGGTTATTCAGCTGAAACCACGTATCGTGAGAGCAACGCATATAAAATTTTTTAACTCTAACCAGTCCAGCAAAAAAAAACATCTCTTTTTCAATTATGTAAAAAATTGTTTATAACAAAGTAGTTTTACAACCTCACATAATTTTAAGTCATAATCTTTGGATTTTGATCTTCTAAATGAAAAAAGAAATCATTTAATTACGTTAACTTTAAACAAAGAATTATTAACATTAGTTAATATTAATCTAAAATTCAAGAATTCCAGTTAAGGAAATTTCAAACTGAATACGGATTAGAGTTAACATTAAATTAATTTCTTTTCGACAAAATAACTTATTTCCTCTTCTACACTTTTCATTCTACAGGAATGAGAAAAAAATAAGCCTCTATATAAATAATAGTTTCTAAATAGTTCATTTTAATGATTCACATCATGATAATTCACAGAAATAAATCCGCGGCAGTGGAGGCTGTTTGTCCGCAGTTCGCGTTTACAATCGAATTACGAGAGAATGTGACAAGGACAATGCGTCCGTTCTTATTTTGCGTGGATCGTTAAATCGTAACGGCTTTCTGCACTGTCACGACGTTTACGGCTAAATTTACACGACGGTATGGATTACCGTGTTAATTAATGACACTGTAAAAAAATGCACAGTGCAGCAACGCCGACATTCACTCCGGTAATTCGCTTTTACTCGCTCTATTATCCGCAATTTATTAAGTGCCCGGACGCGTCGCGTATAAAATTTTTACGCGTGTTTATAACACCGATAATTGAAATTTAAAGCACCGGATCAAAAGATATTGCCATTCTTGTTGTGCGAAAATTTATTCGCACGTAAGAGAAGTTCAACGAACGAGATGGCAACGCGCGACTTTGCGATCGCCATGAATTCCGGATAGGTGTAGAAAAAAAATGTAGGCTAATGAGAGTTAGGCGTCGTTTCGCAACTTTCCGTTCGCGCAATTTAATTACGGCCACGTGGAAGAAATTAATGAAGTAAATAACCGCCGGTTTCATACATTATTCAGTCGAGTTAGAAACACCTCGCACGCCCGATTTACAAACTTTTCCCTCCCGTTCCCACCCAGAAAAGTTCTCACGACTGCATACATCGTTGAACTCGGCGATCGGTTTACCACCTGGATGAGATGCCATGCACCGACCACCCACGCAAATCGCTCCGAAATTTCGAGCGCACGGGAAGAAAACACGAAATTCCATTCGGTATTTTCTCAAACTTTCGATTGTCCGCGAGAGTATAAAATTGTTCAAGATGAGATGAGTTCTTATCAAGATGAGTTGAGTTTAATGTTTTTTTTTACATTTCTTCATCCTTCCATCTTTTCAACACTCTGAATATTTTCTTAGTATTTTCGACTGAAAATACAAATTCAACACTGATGCAATTAAGTCTAAAAGTCGATTTACATATTTTAGTGTTAATAAATAAATTAATCTTTTTACAGTTATTGTGACAATGAAAAATATATAATTAAAAAGGTTAAATTATTTATTAACGCTGAAAGTATATGAATTAATCTGTTATATACAGAATGCCTTAAGGATCGATCAAAGTTGGAAGTTTCGAATAATATAATATTCTAAGTTCATGAATTTAATTAATCTCAAATGTGACTGTACGCCGAAACGTTCGGACATTCAATCTGAGATGCTAATAATCGCGAGCCGAAACGTTCCGACAATCGCGAGTATATATAATCCCTCTTTATTTCAAAGAAATTTTTATTGCGAAAAATATTATCTCAGCCAGAATTCGAATCTCTCGATTTTCTGGGACGAGTGTCAGCTCGACCAGTGAGGCTTTGAAAATATTCTTTGCAATAGCTGACATGTATAGTAAATTAATCTGCACTCATAGTTTTCCACTGGAAAAACTAGTGTAATTAAGTGTAAATCGACATATTTTCGACAGTTAATAAATAATTTATTCTTTCTAAGATTGAAGTTCTCTTGACAATGAAAAATATAATGAAGAATTAAAAGGGTTAAATTATTTATTAATACGGAAAAATATGAATCAATTTACATTCAATTGCATTCAGTGCGCGCCACTATTTCATTAATTGGAAAATGGAAAACATTATGAATCTTTCCGACTTTCATTTTCCTTTTCTCAAATCATTTGTGTCAAGATGAGGTAAACCGCTGAGAGCATTACGGTGTACAAATTTGGGGCATTACTGGGCATTTCTGGACATTACTTGGAGAATTGTGTATTATAATAAGCGGTATGAGGTTATGCATTATTAGGGTATTGATGGGCATCACTGGGGCATTATTAGGGCATTAGTGGGCATAAAATTTGAGCATTACTTGGGCATTATTAGGCATTAATAGGCATTGGTGTACACAATTTTGGTCAGCGGTGTATCCCTTGGAGATCGTGATTTAATTTATTATTACTCAATTTATTGTTACTGAATTTTCTCAGTTTATTACTACAATAATACTCGACATAATTAATGAATTGATTAATGAATGATAAATTTGCATTGATTAATGAATAAAATCAAATATATAAATAAGAGACAAACATGGAAAATTGGCGAAACAAACAAATTTAGCCACTTTGATATAAAAAAATTGAATTTGCAATCATCGCTGATTTCATGTTAGATGGAAGGTTTAAATGACGTTGTGAACAATTGACGAAGTGAACAAGTATCGCTGAGTGGGTAGGTCCACCGATCATGTCGAACCATGAATCTGATGCGGAAAAAAAAATCGAGCGACGTGACGTATGACATGAGTATCACTCAAAAACATAATCGATTTTTCTACAACTCTCTAAAAAATTGTGCAAGCGACAGTTCTAATAATGAAATTGGTGTAAAATTTTGAAAATATTTATAACATATAAGTTGCAAGAATACGAAAAAAAATAGCGATAAACGGATTAAGATACATACGGATTTCATCTTCCCATGCTACTTCAGTAATAAAATAACTTATTCGGACTCTTTAAACTTTTATCCCCTTTTAAAGACTTATTGTGTTCGCATCGTTATTTTATTCATCGTTAAAATTAAAATTTGATATATGCAGAGAGAATGTCGAAAAAATATATCACCATACCTGACATTCCCGACGATTTTGACAGTAACATTTATGAACGCTTTTTATCTCGCTAGAAAAATCATCAACGCCATTGTATTAAATGTCGATCACATTGTTAGTTTAATTTAATGACTCACGTAAAAACTTTTTGCTTTCGTCGCATTTTTAGTATTAAAAATTTGCGACAGAAATAATACACAACGTGAAAAAAAAAGCAAAAATGCCAAGTAGGAAAATCAAGAAGATTTATAATTAGTTATCCAAACGATCCTCTCAATATTGCAAAGCAAAATACGTAATAATGCCTTTATGTGTGTAATTTAATTTTCCGTGTAAAAAGAACTGTATTACATATTTAATTACGTAAATCTATTTTTATATGCATGGAAGGAACGGTTTTGTTGAAGTACATTGTTAGATCAATGAAGCAACAATCTCTTCAATTAAATATTTTGTTATTTTTAACAACTTGATGTGTGTCGAAGTAAAAATCGATCTATTCTGTGGTTTCGAAATAAATAACGTCTGTTTTAAGTATTTGTTAGAAAATGATGAATTAAATTTGAGTCTTTCTCCCTCTCTTTCTCTCTCTTTCTCAAATTTAATAATATCTTTGATTTGAGTTAAACAATTTAACTCAAAATATTATTAAATTTGAATTTATATTTTTTTATTAACATTGTTTTATTAACAATATATTAGAAACAGAGTGGCGACTTAAACTGATGATTAAATGATTAAAATGATTAAATGTAAATTAAATGTAGATTAAAAATAAAAATAATTCAAATTGAATAATTTGAGATAATAAATTTAGCATTGTATCTAAATATTTTTTTAGTTACATATAAAAAAGAAATTAAAAATAAAATAATCTAATTGGAACAATGTCAAAACTTTTTGCAGCATTGCTTATCATGTTTGAATTTTCTTTCTAATTATTTTGATGGCATACAACAAAATTATTTTCAGATCTGTATCTAGCTAAATTTTTAAATACTTGAGCAAAATTATTCTTTCCATGTAAAGACTATTTAGTCAAACAGTGACTGCAACTTTAAGAAGAATAACAGTGCACAAATAATCACAATAATTTTAATAGCCATGAGCTTTTAATTTTTTATTCTTTACGACGAGAGAATATTCTCTTTCTTCTCTTCTCTCAAAAGATTACAAAACCTTTCCAGCGATAAATTTAAAACAAGCATTTTAAATTTTTAGTTATTTAAGTAAAATCGTTCTTTTTGTGTAGTATATACTTTTACACGAAAAAAAAATTAATAAAAACATACAAATATGATGGCTCTGAGAGTAAATCTAATAGCAAAAAGATTAAAAAAACGTCAAAAAGAACCAACGCGAATATTGGTGCGTTAAATTTAAGACGCAACATTATAATTACTAATTGTAATAAATTCAAATTGTGCACCAATATCTACATTGGATTTTTTTGACGTTTATTAATTTTTTCACTTTTACACGGGAAACTAAATAACACACAAGTCACGTATTACACACTTTGCTGCAGAATTCTTAACGACAGGCAATCGGCTGCATTTCATGATACCATGGAGCACGTTTCACAATCATCGTGCGGTTGCAACGAGCGTTCGTTGCATTGAAATTTCCCGTCGGGCCGCACTCGGTATTATTGTGCACGTTCGTTCATTTAAACGCAACTCTCGCGCGCGCGGTCGTTCCTGCGTGACGGTTCAAGGACACGCAAGTCGTGGCGCATATTCGCGACGTGACGTCGTCGCGTCGCGTCACGTCGCGTCGATTCAATCGGCGCGACGTCTAGGAAGGACGCACAACCGGTATGGAGACACTTTACCTGGGACAAGTCGGAGTCGTCACGTATCTTGGCGTCCATCGTCACCTGGCTAGCGTGAATCTTCGCGACGGCGAGCGCCGCGGCGAACAGGAATGCCAGCATCGTCCCTCGTCGCTGCTCCCTCGGGATAGGCACACGAGATTTCACCAAAAATCACTCACGGATCAACGTTCACCACGCGGATGATCCTTCGGATGATCTATCGCCGTATGATCGATCACCGATGGATCATCGAAAATATACAAGAACGAGAAGTCAACCGCGCCACTAATTACCCACGTTTCACGAGGCCGCTTCAAAACGTTCGCGGACCGGAAGTTCTCCACGGACGGACACCGTAATCGAACTGAAGATTAATTTATTCGCACACGGATAATTACAGGAGTGTCGATTGATGAGCGAGCGCGAGATCGCGCTATCGTGTCTCTCTCTCTCTCTCTCTCTCTCTTTCTTTATTTTTCTTTCTCTCGATCTCTTTCTTTCGCGCCGCACTCTTTCCGCTCGACGTGTCAACGATACGGAGGATAGCGCGGTACTGCGCCCTCTCCATGCCTGGACCCCTCTTACACCCCACCACCCGCGTCGGAACGAGTCTTCGGCATGGCCTGCCCGCAGCCGAGTTGCCCCCTCCAGTCGCGCACCCCTCCCGCGCGTGCGAACGCACGTGACGTCACCCGCCTTTTCCTATTCCGCGATCGCGCCGCGCTCGTGGATCATGACACTTTAATTCGACCTGATACAACTGCTCCGATTTTCGTAGAGATAAAATTCCGAACGGAAATTGAATATCAAACAGGTTCGGTAATGGGCGTACATTTGGCGTACGTGACGATGGCGCGTGTCGAAAACAGATATGGTCTCTTTTTAACAAGAATAGAAACGTAAATAGCTTTGTTTTAAAAAAATGATTTGTTTTTCAATAATACAAATATTGTATATCTCGCTTAGTTAATTATTTTAAATGGAGTTCATTTTAGTTCATTTTAAACTCTCTTTGGAAATGCTGAGGAGGTAACCACTAGTTGAAATATTGTCTCACAAACTACATGATTTTATTTGATATAATTACAAATAATTTTTTTCACTATATCATATGAAGTCATTTGGTAAAATATACGATTTTATTTAATATTATATTTCTTGTTGCATAATTATCAGATTATACATAGAGATTGTACATGAATTTTGTAATGATTTCGAAGATTCTGTCTCACGATTACATTAAATAGTTACCCCCTCGAATACAAATTAGCAAATGTTCAACGTTATATATTTTTCATTACAAGAAATCATAATTAATAATCGTCTAATTACATTTTTCTAATTACATTACAAGAAATCATAATTAATAATCGTCTAATTAAATTTTTTTCAATTTTAAGTAAAAAATACTGTCAGAGTTGCCACAAATTCCTCGTCCTAAAATTCTATAACTTCTTTCCGATTCCCAGACAAAATTTCATATGATTTTTCTTGACTTTCAATAAGATTTTCATGTTTTTTTTTTCATCTTGATTTGGAAACCGTTAAGTATTTTATTGAGAAATTAATTTAACATAGTAATATAAATTACTATTATTGATGTTGCTGACACTGCTTACATTTTATTGTTGAGTTGTATTCCAAAATTGCGTAGGATATTTCAAAGCCAAGAATTTTCTCTGATTTCCAGCTTGGTGGCCATCGTAATATTAACAAAATGTTCAAAATCTTGTTTGCTGCGGAAAATTATAATTAATAGTAGTCTACATAAATTTTTTCAACTTTTAATTTTAAAAGTACGTATACCCTTATCGTTAAATAAATTTCAATTTCATGCTAATTTCAAATCGACGATAAAAAGAGAAAAATAAACTAAATAGTAAGAGACGTTGTACTTAAAGTTCTTAATTAGAATTCTTGAATATAATTAAATATGGTTCATTGTTCGAACCGATGATAGTCGAATTAAGTTTCTCGCATTTCTCATTAATGGGAACACTTTTTTTTCGCAGTACCGGCAGTAAAGATAATGTGGCTACATTCTTTAGTCTAGACCAGTTAAGTAAGTGAATTGAATTATGTTTTTCAGAGCGTAAGCTGAGTTGTAAGCTCTATAACTTACAATTTAAAGAGATACCGCTACAAAATTAGCTATATCGTGCTCTAGGTTCGTGAATAAAGTTCACACTATTTATGTTTTCAAGTAAATTCTGTGCGTAATATAAACGATATAAATAAGTATACTCTATAAAAATAAAGACCAGGACGCAGAAAGTACCAGATCATTAAAAGTTTAGGAGTATAATAAATTCTAAAATGACTCACGTTCTCTTTAGTCTCTGAAAGTAGACTTATCGTGACGTTATTAATTTACGGTTAAATATGGCTAACTATAGATTCGTTATATTGCGGAATGAGAGAGAGAGAGAGAGAAAGAGATGCGCGATTGAATTTGGAGCAATATAATTGCCAACTCCAACAGAAGTTTATAGGGTATTTGCTAAGTGGAGTGGACTTGGACCAATTCTCGAAACCACTTGAAGCACAGCGCAGATTAAGGAAAGATCCTGATCACGAATATAAACGCGAAGGTTCGCCTGGAACTTCCGTATTGTCTCATACTCTCCGCTTGTACAAGCGGACTCACGTTAAGTTCATTCCAATCCTCTTTGGTAATTAGAACAATCCAAACGTCTCCTTTGCCTCTTCGACTGACTTAAACTACAACATATGTATTTTACCAACGGCACATTGTTCCAAATATGTTTTGGAGATGTGACGTCACACCACTCGGTGATATGATTTTTAATAAATTTCATCGACGATGAATTAATCGGTTAGAAATATATTCCTGCCTGGGGTTTGGTAAATGTTTGTCTAACGAATAACAGTTTGTTTATACGAGAGAGGATATTTAGTTATTAATATGCAAACATTACCCTTGGCACTCGCGTTACGATGAGAATAACATAATAATGAAAATGCCACGGAAAATCGAATTATACTTTTGGCGAAGCGGGATTATCAATTCTTTGTCGCAACGAGTTTGCCCTAGAAATTCACAAGGCACTTGTTCCGCGCATATAAATGCGCAATGATCCCCGAACACAAATAGGAATTCTAATGTCGCGATTTACGTATTCCATAATCGAAGGATTGCGTAATTTCAAGCGCCAAGGTTGGAAAAGCTTGAAGTGAACGAAGTCCCTAAGGGCGTCGACCCTCAATTACGATTCTCACACCCTTCCCGGGTTTCCCGTACGCTGCTATATCGCCATGAAAACTCGCTCGGCCTCTTAAAGATGAAACAAACTCGGCCATGAAAAGAAAAGTTAAGTGCTCGTGACACTTCCTAAGGCGGTTCCTTACGTTTACCATTTTTCTCGCCGAATCATAATTTTTCAGGAACGCTACGTAATTTTTAATTACTTTCCAACGAATTCTTTGCATACGACATTTTCTTACATCGATTTTCCTCACATTTTTTTCCTTTCTCTTTCATTGTTTCTGGATAATGGAATAAGTTGATTGACAAATTGAGTTTATTTCTAAACAATCACTTTTCACTCGTCAATTATAAAAGTAAATTTAAATGAAAATTCTAAAATAATTTCAAGCTTTGAAACCTTTTTTAAATAAATATACACATAGTAAAAAACATTTTATATTTATGTTAAAATTAGTTCTTATGACGTTGAATTTTTAACCGAATATTAATATAATGTGCAATAATAAGTTAAATTAGATCGCTTATATATATGACTAAATCAATTAACATGTAAATAAACGGGATTTGAGATTTTTCTTCTTCTTGATTTAACATTATCTTTATAACGATATTAGTTATTTCAATTTTATATTAAATTGATTTTAACATTTAGTAATAAGTTTAAAAATAACATTTAGTAATCTTTTCGGACGTGTGATGTATGTAAAATTTAACACAAATTTTTCAATTATGTAGAACTGAGTAGTTTTTAAATTTAAAAATCAAGAAATTGAAAATTTTCAGTCTAAAAAGTCAATCTATTTATACAGAGTGTCTCGTAAATTTTGACAAAGTGCGTATGTAAATAGAACGGACTAAACTAAGACGAAAAGCTTTTACCATTTTTTTTACCAATTTTCGCAATAACGAAATAATTAACATGATATTAATTACTAAAAATTGCCAAATTTTGGTCTTTAATAATTTTTTTCTCAAATACTATCAATTTTACAGAAAAACTGCAAGAGATAAAAATTGTTTATTTTCTTCTTATAAAACGCTACCAATTTTTTCAGAATTTTTCATCAGTTTTAATACTGCATTTTCTCATTTTTACTAACATGAAAAAAATATGGTATTAAAAAATTCTCAGAACTTTATAAAAAAAAAAAATAAACAATTTTTGTCTTTTGCTATTTTTCTGTAAAGTTGATGGTATTTGAATAAAAAATTATTTAAGACCAAAATTCAGCGATTTTTAGTAATTAGTATCTTGTTAATTATTTATTGCGAAAATTACAAAATGATACACAAAATGGTACAGAATTTTTCGATTCAATTTAGTCCGCTCTATATACATATGAGCGCTTTATCAAAACTTACCAAATACCCTGTATTTATCTGTGAATACACTCAAATAAATGATATCAAAAACACAATTCATTTTTCTCTCAAGTGATTATTCGCGGTAGTAAAATTGTTTGTGCATGGAAATAATTCGGCGCGAAAACGCTAATGACTATCTTCGTGTCACTTCCGCTTCCTATCTCGGTCATGCATCGCGGATATATTCACAAAGAATAGTGAATGTGTTTTATCACCGTTGTGATGGGCTGTTATTTTTTTTAGCGCTAGGCCCTTCATGCAGATGGGGCCCAGCAGCTTGTTTTTGCCAACTGGAGCGGTCGGCCCGATTAACTGTCTGTCATTCACCGATTTCGAGCTCAACGAAAAAAAACTGGGGAGATCTCGTCCTCTTCTATTTCTGTCTTTCTCTTGACGCAAGCAAATTTACGGAGGCACGTAATTATAGCGCACATAAACGCCAAAAATTACAAATGTATGAAATTACAAGAATTATTTTAACATATAAATATCGTGAGATGCGATTTTATGATCCTCACGAAGAATAAAATTAAACATGCTGAGATATTTCCTATCTATTATTTCGCATTCATAATAATGATATTTTAATTGTTAAAATTAATATTCCAGTCAAAAATGTTATCGTGCATTTTTACATCGTTAGATATTGAAAGAGCAATAATATTATTTAAACATCTTGCTTTAAATTGTTAAGACTTTTAGTTGTATAAATCAATTCATTCCTGTGATTAATTTCGAAGTACATACATCCACAGTAATGTAAGTATTTAGTAAATAAAAAGTTAAATTTGAGTTAAATTTATAATTTTCCTTGAGTTAAATTGTTTAACTCTAATCGGACACTACAATACACGGAGTAAGAAATAAGGGTAAGAAATTAATCAATCGATTATTTTTCTCACATTCAACTGTGATCATTTTCTTGCTCTTACTTCTTACTC